AGCCTTGTTTAGAACAAAGGTACACTGTTGGCTTCCATTCACCTTGCTGTCCTCCAGAACCCTGGCATCTTCTGCCAAGCTGCTTCCCAGCTGGGTGGCTCCCAACATCACATGGTGCATGGGATTGCTCCTCCCCAGGTGCAGGACTTTGCACTTCTTATTGAACTCCATAAGGTTGTTTTCATGAGGTTTCAACTGTTAATGATGCATTTTTCCTTTTTTTATTTTTTTCCCCATCATCCACAGACGTGAACTTCAAGTTTTGAAACATTTTGTGACAGATACACCAAAAGAATACATACTAACATCTAAATACGTGATTCCTGACAACTACCTTGAAAAGATCTGATTTTCTTCTTGTGTTAATATTGGTGGGTTATTTTCTTAATTTCTGACTAGAAATGACACGGGAATATAGAAGACAACAGAAAAAACGATGTTTAACCAAATTTCTTATACATAAATCCAGTAAAGTTGCTCAACAGCACAGTCAGGAAGGGTTTGTGGGCTGTTGAGGATCCTGAGGCATCTGCAGGGTTGCAAAGTAGGGAGGTCCTGCCTCCTGCCCTGCTGTGTTTTGGGCCTTTGCCACAAGAAAAAAAAGGAGGAGCTAACAGTATAGGAAGCACAAAATCAGAGTTCTGCTGTGTGCTTCTGCCTTGAAAAACAGCACTGAGCAGCTGTGGTAACGGCTACGTCCTCAGTTGAGTCACTGCTACTGTCTGCTGTACCCTGAGGCAGCAGCAAGCACAGAAGTTTCTGGGGAAGGGAGCAGATAATATAGGCCAGTTTTTTTCACAGACAACTGCTCATTTTTTTTTATCTGCTATCTGTAAAGCTTTTCATTCAGGGAAAATGATAAATTCTATATCTAGGCAAAGCAGTTACTTAGAGCAACGTCATGACTTCCTAAGCTGCTGCTCCCACTAAATAAAGATGGGTTATGTAAGGTTATGTGAAAGGTGAAAGCATCTGCTTTATTAAGGTTATTCAGTGAAGGACCTTTTCAATGCAAAAGTTGGAAAGCCACAACTAACACCACACAGAGACCCAGAACTCAGAGACAGAGAGAGAACAGAGATCATGCAAAAGACCAAATGTTTCCAGTCAGTATTTGTCAGGTCCTTAGGAAACTACAGCCACAGCTTTGGACAGGTACAGCCTCGACTTTGTAACTATTATGAAGAGGGAAAGAAGAGGAACATAAGGATTTGAACTAGGTCTGCAAGACTACGCAAAACTTGATAAGGAAAAGAGTTGGGGAGGAACAAAAGGGGGAATAGATGGAAAGGGACAGGTTTTGTGAAAATCAAGGCTGGTCAGTGTCTGTCCTATCTTCACATTAAATGCTTTCTCAATTATCTTTCCATGAAATCTTGTTATCCCATGCACATGAGGCTGGAAGTTCGAGGTGACAGCATCTGGCAAGACTGGCAGACGAGGGGTGTTGGGGTTCTGGGGACAGGAGCTGAAGTAAGTGGGGTCTCAGCATCAGTAGCTGGAGTGGCCATAGCTCTCCAGATCTCAAGAGGTGCTCAGAGTGTTAGCTACAGACCAGATCTGTGTGAGGAGACCTGGCACTATTAGCTAGGTCAGACCAGGGCTGTAGTCAGCCAAGCCTGTGGTCTTAGCAACAGGAGTGCACATGTGTCTGCTCCAGCCTCTAGGATGGGATGAGCATGTGTCTTGGATGCAGCTGCTGATGCACGAAGCCCAGGGTTTCTGGGCTGGGCAGGAGGAATACCCAAACCAGAGATGTAAGAGGCAGTGGCAGTTTGTAACATTCCTTAACACTTTATTTCCTGTGTAAATTGATGTAGAAAATTTAAGCCCATGCTGAGTGTGGCCTCTTCTTCTCACCCTAAGTCACTTTACAATTGACTGAATACTAATAGCTAGGTAGTTTTTTTTCTTTACAACCTGAACATAACAAATCCAAATCTAAGTGTTTTCTTAATACAGCACGATGCTCACCTTTCTCAAAGCATGGTTTCTATGTGAGGTGTTACTGTTCATCCTTATTTTGCAGCTGCAAACCAAAACTTTTAGGAGTGACAAAGAAAATAAAAACTTTTAAAAAATACTAAAAAAAAAATAAAAATCAGTGGCCTGAACCATACAAATTCCAGTTATATTTCTAAGTCAGAGAAACGAGTACAACTCCAAGCTCTTTGAAAGAGATAACGAATTACAAAGATGTCATCTGAAGAATTTGTGCATGCAGGTGGAACAGTTTATGCAAAAACACAGACTGAAGACCAAGTTATATGTAACACTTTGCATAAAAAAGGTACCAAATGCAGATGAATGGAAACAGAAGAATACCAAAGCTTCACAAGAGAGAATTCTGTGAGTAGGACTGACAAAAGCAGCAACATAATGCCAAATTGCACTGAGCAGGACACAGTACTCATTCCTAGTGAAACAGACTCAACAAGGCTGCTGGTCCTGTGACAATGATTGGTTTTAACTTCTCTAGAGATCCTTCATTCCCTTCCTTTTAAAGAAACTGCTTTCTGTATGCATATGCTGATGACATCATCTATTACATAACAGTATCTTCTTTTCTTGCATTTCCTTCTCCTAACTTAATAATTTAGTGTTGTGATATAGTGAAGAATTCTCCTACCCTGAAGGGTAAGAACACTTTGCACAACACAGGTACTGTGTACATTAGGAGTCTCAGCGTGGCATAAACTCTATTTTACAAGATGTTAGCCAAATCTTTTTATGTTTTGGAAGGCATGCCCTCTTTCACTACCATTCTGTACATAATTTTTAAGGGGACCAATCACTATTTTTACAAAGTCAGATACTTTGAGTACCTATTACTTCTAATAATGGTAAATAGGGAAACAAAATCAGTTTGGAATCACAATTTCATTAATTATACTGGATAATAAAATTTATAATTTATATTTAATAAATTTCTATATATATAAATTTATAATTTATAAATAAATAAAAGTAATAAATAAAAATGTTTTCATACTACTTCAAATTTTTACAATATTTTGTCTCCATTGGATATACTGTTTTCACTCCCCATCCCACAAAACAAAATCTTTGACCTTATTCTTTTGGTTTCAAGACAAAATCTGAACCTGTTAACGTTTTCCTGCTATCCTATTAAAATTCCTTAAATTATACCAGTAGCTCAAAACTTACTTCTGTGAAAATACAAACATCTTGTTTACTACAACTTCTGGACAACCAGAAACACTTTCTGCACAAGTAGATGTTGGTAATTCCAGTGCTAACATTTCTACTAGACTTCCTGTATCAGAATTCTGTATTATTAATAAACCAATGTACTCCTTCGCTAAAAAGAGATCTCAGACTCTCCTAGGTGTCACAGATGACAGAGGGTAAATGGCAACCTCTAGTGGATCTGGATACTGGGGATTATTTTAGAACTAACAAAAACAGAGCTTTTACCTTCTTATTTCATACTCATTGGCCTTCACTGCTTGTTTGTGAAGTGGAACAGAAAGTTCTGTTGGTTCTGTGCTGTACAGCTGCTCCAAGTTACAAGTCTTGGGCATTACACATCAAGGCCTCTGGGCATCCCCTGACATTCGTTCCCATGCAGCTCTCTGATTCCTTGGATCTTCCCCCACTTCCAGGATTTTTTCTCCAGCTAGTATCTTCACCTTCTGTTTGGGCTCCTTCTCCTTCCAAGACTACTTTTTTTCAAGAACTATTAATTTTGGCAAGAACACCAAGCCCAAAATTTTCCCAGCTGAAGCACATTACCAGCCTCCTACTTCGTGGTTCTGCCTCATATGTCTTTATTAATGTATTAGCTTTTCTTTAGCTCAGGTGTTATCAAAATTTACAAGCAACACATACTGGTTGCAGCTAGCAAGTAGCAGCCCTGAGAGTTCAAGAGTGCCTCTGGGATATACTATCTCAAGAAATTACATTAAATTATTTTTATACAGAACCTCCATTTCTGCACAGAGGTCTGACTCTCCAAATGGAAGATACTGCACAGATTAATCAAACAAGACTTCTTTATTTTAATGCTTCAAGGCAGTAAAATACAAGTATACAAAAAGAATATACAAAAGTGGCAGTGATAATGCAACTTGATGCAATCCTACAGAAATTTAATCCATCAGAGTGGACTCTTCATCAATATACCTATCTGTAAAATATTGCACCATTTCATAGAGGGAGCACTCAGGAAGACTGTTTATTCTCCAGGGAGGTACAACAGCCTCTAAACCAGTAAAATAAACTTCAGAGTAAGGCACCAATTGGCAAGTATGATTCTTATTCCTTTTATCACATCATGTTTAAGATAAATGCAAGATACAGGTTAATGATGCACCTTTGTCAGATGGAGGAAACATAGCCTTCTTTTTCCTAGGCAGAGTAATAAAAAAGTACATGCCTGGTTTTCCAGCCTTCCTTCATATCCCTTTGTGTTTCCTATTCATAATTCTATCCTGAAAAAAAAATATTTTAAAAGCCATACTTACATTAGAAAAGGAGTTAGCCAGGAACTATGCCGACTTACTGCTAACAAAAAAACGAAGAAGATTGAGACTTAAGTGAAAAGCCTGTAGTCCATATGTAATCCAGTATCTCAAGATTTAGGCTCTACCACAAAAACAGAAAAATGCCCATCTCCCACATCGTATCAAATGGGAGTAACAGCAACTGGACACAGCAAGAGACAAATTACAGCTTGAAGAGACTGTGCAGGAAATTTCCAAAAGAAGTGGTAAATTACACTTTTAAATGACCATGGCTGAAGAAAGAAAACTCATAATAGGGTAATAATATGAAACTCTTCCCTTTCATTTAAAAGGGAAACAAAATGCAGTGATAAATAATCTAAGCAACGTACTTAGATTGTAAAGAGCTGCCTTGAATATTTTTGTTAATTAAAAAAAAAAAAAAGACAAGCAATCCTTTTGTACAAGGCTGTAAGCTTTCAGGGCTTCAGTTGTACAGTGCGATTTATAGACTCCTGAGAAGTTGGTGGACTGAATGCTGTCTGCTGTGACACATAAGTACTATGGCAAACAAATTCCTGAAAAGTAATATTCCATGCAGTTGTTAATTCTTGGGACTATGGGGAGCTAATCTAGAATTTATAGATTCAAAACTATTTCTGGGGCAGTTTCTGCAGACTTGTCTAGGTCTTCGTTCTGCTGATAATCTGGGATGTCTTGTAATTCTCTCAATAACTTCACTATAGAAAGGATGTAGAAAAATAGACTTTTAAGTGATCACAATGGATAGGAAAGTGCTGAATACTGAGAATATAACCTTTCATTTTAGAGAAGGGGAGGATTCTCCTTCACAAGGAAACTCTTTTTCTAACGTGCACAGTAGTAAACTGTCCTGTAAGAACCACGCAGAAAGTATTTAAAATTTTTAAAATACAAGTGTAAGATAAATAGCATTTTATGACCGATTTTCCTTTCAGAAAGGCTTAACTTTTTTTAAAAGTTGTGCCAATAGTCCATTTTCATTTTCACTTTGTTTATAAATGTCCTCACATCTCCTCCCAAAGGATGTTCCCACTTCTCCCAAATTCTTGTGCTGATCCTCTTTCTATCAGTTTCTATACATACAAAGCAAATCAGGATATTAGAATTTTATACCCTGAACTGAATCAGATTACAAAGACAGTTGCCAGAATATTTTGAATTGGACTGGCCAGATAAAGAAACATTCCTTGCTTGCACATCTGATGTCACGGTCAGTAAGAGCAAAATCGCAGACATCCATAGTCAAAGTTCAGGTTTAGCAGTATCTCTCTTCCAACAGAGAAGGTTATTTTCCTGGTAGATATCCAGGAAACAGGTAAAGGTCCCGACAGAGTGTGCTACAATATTCTGACATTTCCTTGCAGCGGTGAAATTCCGTGTCCGGCGCATAAGCCTCTCGTTGCTTGATTTGCCTATTTACCTAGATGCGATATTAAAAAAAAAAAAAAAAAAAAAGTGACTGGAAGGATTAAGACAGAACAAAAATGTCATGGCTTTCTGTACTCATATATTATTCTATTTAACATATTAAGTAGCTGCCTTTGTTTTGTATCTCTAAACTATAAGAAGGAGAAAGCACTAGGGTGCAGTTTCACAGCAGTTCAAGTTGCCATGATTACACTGCTTTCTTCAGTACTTCTTCCCCCATTTTCTCAATCTTTACCTTATGTATTAGAGCTTTTGCAGCTATGTGGTGTGCCTGTTCAGGGAATGAATTCACCTGAAGAAAAAACCTGTTTCTATAGAAGAAAAGTAATTCCCTGCAAGAAAGATGAATTCCTCTTGCAAGTTCATCATGTGACCACAGAAGTGAAACAGAAGCAGTGAAAGAAACAGCATTTTTACTTGGGTTAAACTGCTATGGAACTGTATACAAATAAATAAATATGAACTGGGAAAGAAGTAGTAATTTTGCTACAAACAAGACAAAAACAACTGCTTTAACAGTAGACTAGCATTTTGAAGCACTGAAAGGCTCTTCAAAACCCAGGTAAAAGTAGGAGGGTAAATACACTCCTGCTTACCTTCACCAACATGTCAGCTACATGAGTGTCTCGGGAGTCCTCTGCAAACACAGAGGTGAGAGCTTCGATATACCAGGATCCATGCTTGGTGTTTCGAATGGCCACAGTGCCTGAGAGGAAAGTGTGTACGATGAAGTTTTTGGGGAACACAGACACATAAAACCTCTTTAGGCCCAAACAATTAGGGCCTCTACCCAGTACCTTTCAGACAAGCATATCCACAGATCATATCCGAGCATGTAGGCAGACGCAGCTTGAGACTTTCTTCCCTGTTTGCATCACTTTCCTCACAGCCTGAGGAATCTGACCGTTCTTTCCCATCTCTTTGATCCACTCCCTGGTCGAACTTATCTGTGGTGGCAATAAACAAGGAGGGGGTGGGGGGGAGAAGAAATTACCCAGAATTACTGCGTGTAGTTTTCCTGTACTTCTTTAGTTTTGGGCTCTGGTCAGCAATGACACAACCACCGTCGAGCAGAAAGCTTTTGCACAAACTTTAAGCTTTTTCAGCTGCTTTAAAAGCTCATCTGAAAGTCCTTCTGCACAAACTAATGCAGATATCAACAACTGCCAAACCTGCTCAACAAAACCTGACTTGGTCTGCACGCTGATTTCTGCTCCTCCCTCCTCCTATGCAGATCATGGGATAAGCATGAAAGCAGAGAAGTTTCTATAAGTTCTCCACCATGCATGGAAGGATTTGATGCCTAGCCATAAAGTTTTGATTTTCCACTTGTACCTACCTTAGAAATATCCAAAAATGTCTAGTGCAGTTTGCAATGCTAAAGACCTATGTATTGCAGCACTCAAAAAAGAGCTCTAATTTGACTTGCTCAGGTTTACCTCCAAGACATCTAGAAAATATGGACCAAGTATCTCACCTAGTTCTAAAACATGACTACAATACTACTTGTATCAATCAAAAGCATAAGTTGTGCAGGAGTAAAATGCAACATAATCTGACCCCAAATAAAAGAACTCCAGTACATGGAGATTAGTTAAAAATCTTGAGAGTATTTGATGTCTTTTCCAAGATTTATTAGTATGTATTATGAAAGTATAGATAATCTCAATTTTTTTTTACATGATGCAGAGTTTCCATTATAATCTAGATTAATTGCTCAGTGGTGATAACTTTGATAGTCCAGATATGTTGTAAGAAAATTAAAGCTACATTTTTTATATAATTTTGCCTTCACCCCCTTTACTTTTAAGTTGACAATCTATTATGCTACTTTCTTCCTAACAGCATGGGTCAGACGCTAGACTTAGGTCCACTTCAAAGGCCTTCCTGTTATGATGGTTCTTAGTTTTTGATGCCAGCTCAAGCCTCAGAAGTACATTTGGACTTCTAACCGTTTTACAGGCAGTGGCACCAGTGGCATCTCATACTTATGCAAAGGAAATGGTCAGTTCATAAGTCACCAACATTGTTCTTTTCCTCTAAAATGAAAGCAGCAGCAGGAGGCGTGTGATTGTCTGACAGGTTAGATATAGCATAGAATAAGGCTCCATAGCTCAAATGACTTCCATTAGGTTTCTTCCTCATCTCTTTAAGGCAGCAATGCAAAGTTTTCCATTAACTACACTTTTTTCATGTCTTTTATCACGGTTTTCCAAATCCTTTCAGTTCTCTATCTTCTTAAAAATTCAGAGTACTGTTCACGGTGTTTATTTCAGATAAGACTCAGGTACTTTTAAAATCAAGCTATATTATTCACACTGCCATCATCCCATCATGTAAAAAGTCAAAATTTTTTTATTAAAGCTTCAGAATTACGTCTTCCTTGTGCATTTGTCTTCAAACACCACTCAACTTACCAAGATAACTAAAACCTGTAAAGCACTAACCCTCTGCATACTTAACCTCTAATTTATATCAGCAATAACAGCCACACAGATTGATCTAATCTGTTTACATTTTACTGAAGCTCCTAGATAGCTATTTTACCAATTAATTTAAATAACTGCTAACTACCTATTTGTCATTACTTAGCACAGTTCTTTTATCTTCTGGATCAACTACTACACTAAACAAAAATATAAAGGAGCTTCAAAGTTACATTTTATGTCATACTGAAACTTTCCCACTGTTTTCTGTAACCACTGTTTTTTGATCCATGACTGTAGGTGGACTTTAGTAGATTCCTGCCATTTCTTTGGAAATGAAGACTTTACTAACTCTTCTTTAACTACATTTTTTAATGTATAATTAATAGAACATAGAGTAGGCCTACTACATAAGATTAGGGAAGAAGAATAACCTGTGCATTTCTTGTTTTGTTTCAAATAGCTCCAGCTAACTTGCATGGCCTTGATAGGTTTACCACTATTCTAAAGTTTCCATACTATTTATACAGCCTTTTAAATGCTGTTTTTTTTGGCTAGTCTAACCTTTGAATGCTAACGTGTAAGGGTACACGGTTTTGTTGATAACTAATTATTTTGTAACTGGCCTTCCCCTCCAACTATTAATCATGGTTTAAAAGAGGTTAGAAAAGGCAGGGCCTTTCTTTTTTTTTTTAATTGAGGAAAGAGTTTTCCCTTTCAATTGCTCAAGTCTCAATCCTTTGTCTTTTGGAGTATCCAAGTTCTAAAGCATTGTGCATAGGAAGTTTTACCACTCTTTCTTAACTGCAACTTTTTTGGAAATAGAAAGGCCAAGCTTGATTTGTTAGTCTTAACAGACTCATTATGGTAACATTACAGTCAAAGAAACCTAATTACCTAATTAGGTCAGCTGAAAATTCTAGCTTATTACACTTACTTCCACGCTGAGTCGGTGCATTCACATTTGCTCAAGAGTATCTAAACGTTCAATTAGATAAGGAAAGCAATCCCATTCCTTACATATTGAAAACATGCATGTTACAGTATTTCCAAATACTTTGAGGGATTGGAATATTTCTGATTGCCAAAATACTTCATGTAGACTTTAGGCTTTTCCATGCATTGGGATTAAACAAGGTTAGATAACAGGTGAATGAATCATCCTCTTGGCTAGAGGACAAACTATAAAGCTCGATAAAAATGAAAAGGATAATTACAAGGAACAAGGGAAAAGCCGGGGAAAGAGCATACACACTAAAATCTCTATCGCAAGAGGAAAAACCAAAACCATAAGACAGAACTTCACTTTGGAGAATCTGCAATTTCACAGCAATCTCAGAAAGACCAAACACTTGATGGAAAAATTCAGTCATTAGCAGATATGAAAGGCAGTTAGCTACAGGTATGTGTTTAGTTACAGAAAGAAGGAAAAGAAATAGCAGAATTAGAAGAAGAAACAAACACAAACCACAAAGCATAGAAAGAGAACAGGTGCAGGAGAATCAAGGAAAGAGTTCTGTACATTAGCATGTAAGAATTCTGTAAGAGTATGAGGAAAAGTTTGGAAGGAAAGGCCATTTTGAGGTTGAAAACAAGCTAGGGTAAAGTAAAAAAAAAAAAAAAAAAGACAAACTCCCAAAAATAGTTGGAACCAACTTTGGCAGCTCAAGAGACAACCACGAGAGACGCAGCACACTGAGGATAAAGAGAAAGACACAACCTCAGACAAGACTCCAGTGCTAGGGTACCTCTCCATGCTGTGCTGCAATTTGTGCACCATGTGCCCCACTCCCCTTAATGCAGGCACAGTATGAGAAAGCCTCAATGTAGTGTGGGGTATGACAGAGGTTTACGTCATTAAGATGCTCTGGGGTCTGCAAGTCAATGCACACACCTCATGCAGAGCAAAAGACACTTACAGAGCAACAGATGCAGTGGCAGCAGCAGGGCAGAGGGAGGTGAATATGGGTCCCACTTACACCTGAGAGAAGCAAACAGGAGAGATGACAGCAAGTTGAACGTGAGGGTGTGCATGTGTGCAAAATGAGCCTTAATGGCATGCCAAGTACTTTTAGCACTGGGGCACTCACCTCCCCGGCAGGCCTGAATAAAGAACATTTTTGGCTTATTCTGGAGATTTGGACAGTTTACGTTATCAAAGAGCCGGAAAACCTCCTGTAACTGAGAGAAGAAGATAAATATTCTTCACTGTAGCCTTCTCTAAGCCAAACCCAGCCTCACCCTGCTTCCCTGTATTTTGGTTATTACCACATCTATCTTTGTATTTTCTCCTTTATCTCCAAACTCAGCCTGTGACAAACACATCCCTTCGCCACCCTTTACCCTAGCTCCTGCTAGTTTGAGTTCTTGCAGTCTACCTAGTACTTGTACAGAGAGAATGAAATAATCTCCCCTACTCGCCAGACCACTCACAGACTCCTGCTGTTTTCTTCCCACAAGCCCTTTATTTTTTCCATTTAAAAAAATGTGAATCCTCAGTCTCCCATCACTTCATTTTTTTTAAACTTTTTCCCCCCTTTTTCTACTGTTACTTTCCTAGAGACAACCTACCACACCACATCAGGACACAACAACATACCTGTAGTAGCTTGCCATCACTGCCATAGACCGCGCCCTCCACACCGTGGGAAAGCAAAGCTACGATGCAGGAATCCACATATTGATGATCTGGCAGCTTGGAGAATCTCTCCAATGCATTCTGCATCTCCTGGAACAGAATAAGAAAAAAACTATTCAATGCTTTCCAGACTTGCACAGGGAATGTGAGTCAATATTCATGGAAAAACATAAACAGTCCTCCTGTTACAAAAAAAAACCCTATATACAACTAATTTATAGGAAAAAGACGTGTTTTATTAAAAAACAAACAAACAAAAAAACACAACAAAAAACCAACAAAATGTTTATGTTCCTTTATGTAATATTGAGTTCTAAGCATAACATAATGAAGCAAGAATCACTTGGCCAACAGGGAGATGCAGCAAGTACCTGAGTTGGTACATGTGGATTCAACATAGAAGAAACTAACTGATATTTTACAAAGGTTTTACAAAGACACTTGAGTCTGACTGGGATATTGGAGCAACTTAACAGATACATACTCTGGGGCTTCAGGCATTCAAGCACTAGTGGTAAATAAACAATCTAAACTGAAAAGCTTTACGAACTCTGAAAACATGGCAGATGCAAAAGTGTAATTATAATGCTGCAAAAGCTGCTTTCTTGAGTAAAACACTCTTTAATAGGTTTGGTACCACTTGGATTCATAGGGATTTAAAAGAAATAAGAACAAATGAAGTTGGAGAAGGTAGCAGTTGCATTCTGAGGGTTAGTGGCTTAATTAAGTTAGGAAATTTGATAGTGTTCCATGACTAAGTGAAACACAGCCACTTCTTTAGCAAAACAAAGACTGAAAAAGTGGAACTTAACTGCACAGATATTGGAAGACTGATAAATAGGATGGCAATTGACTCCACCAATGAAAGGACATGAAAACATCATGCTTGCAAATACTACATCAATTATTTGCAAAGTTTAACTTTAAGGGCAGCAGAACACTGCAAAAGTCTATCTAAAGCATACGCTTTATTCATTTGTGTTTTTAAAACACATGCCAGGTGTGTTCTAGAAATTCTTGCACCCTGTACTAGGGTCAGACTACAGTAGTACCTCTCATGGTCCTTTATAATACTGTTTTCCACTGTAAGAGCTCTGCCTGCCAAGGTTCTTCATACTGATCAGTATGTGAGAAGACATTATCCCATTTAGCCTTATTTTCTATTCATAAGTGATAATTCACACCTTCCAGTTCAAAGCTTAGTTACATACCAAAGGGAAACTCTTACGATGATTATGTAACAGTTACAAACTCTCATCCCTACCAATTGTGAGGATTCACCCCTTACCTGTGCAGTTTGATTAGGAAGAACAGTCACTTCATACCCAAGGTGCTTGAAAAGCATCTTCAGGGAAGCACAGTCCACGTCTCCCCCTTTGCGATACTCCAAGTCCTTGTCACAGCTGAAACTGACATTGCTGAGAATAAGCGCTAAGCCTCGGGGCTCTGATACCACCTTGTACGCCTGAGAAGAAGATTTAAAATCAGTAAATTTAAACAACACAAAGAAACAGCAGTGTTAGAGTAGAACAGCAATCCCTACATACTAACTTGATACCATGTTCCTGTATTTGCAAGCCTCCACAACTGATGAGCCTGTGATATTGTTAGACTAGCTTGCCTTATTTCTCATTTTAAAAGAAACACAGGTTACTCATTTCAAACTGCGAATTAGCTCTTGCTAACTTTTTTCCCTTTTCTCACCCTCACCCCTGCAGGGCCCCACATATTTCTGCCATGCCCATCAATGGTACCAGGAGAACATTACATAACATTTAGCTAGTATTTCTTAATTGCTGTTGGGAGCAGACAGAGATGTAAAATAGCATGTGAGTGCAATTATAACAGCAAGGGACTGTCAGTCATTGATCTTGAAAGCTATGTGACTGGCAAAAAAAGCTTAACAGGAAAAGAACTAATTTAAGAGGAGTATCTTCAAACTAACTTACCCCTTCGTCCCTACCAATCTAACAACAACAAATCAATAGTAATTCAGTTACTAATACTCCTGTAAATTGGAAGCAAAATTTACTACCAAAGGAGAATATCAAATAAGGTGTATCCAGGCATAGATGTAAAAGGAGCCAAGTCAAGTTCACACTGGCGCTGCATATTAATCAGGTCACTCCGACAGACAGTTCCAAAAAACCCACCACCGAACAACCAAACAAAACCATACACACACAAAAAAACTGTTTTGCTATAAACAGAGCCTCTGACAAAAGTGTTGTTAGCACACTGTGTAACCCTAATGATGCATTTGCCCCATCATACAAAATAATGTCATTCTTTAAGCCCACCCCACCACAACCCATGCTTTACAAACCGAATAAACAAAAAGTAATTAGACTACCCACATAACTTTAAACACTACAGCAGAAGATTAGAAATTCAGGATGTTCTACCCAGCACAGAATCCTGATCTGGTTCTTAAGCCTACGGACTCTTTCAGGTAGAGCTGGCAATTGAAACAGTCAAGACTGTGATTACTAGTTGAAATGCTGTTCTACTATCTTATGGTCATTTACAGGGTGTGTCATCATGCAGAATATGAGGACACAGACAGACAAGTTCGAGGCAATAATACTGACAGCTTACACAGAGCAACAAACCAAAATGCATTTCACCAAGCTCTTCATGAACAAAAAATAGAGGCAGATAGTTATAGAACTTCTCTGAATTTCTTGACACTTGTAAATGAGAACTACATCAAATGGAACACGACTGGTAACACCTTTCAGTAACACAAATAGCACAGCACTGATCTGCATCCCAATCAAGTGTTTCAACTAAAAAATTCTAAGTACCACATGTTCAAACACCTCACAACTTTCACATCTTAAGAATTTCTCTGCAAATGACTTACCAAGTGCTGATGATCATGATAAAATTCAGGAGTGCAATATTTCACTGGAGGAATTGAGTGACCATCTCCATTATCCCAGGAAACTTCCATTGGTCCTGTGCAAACCAAACATATCAATTACAATAAATTTCAACCACAAAGCCTCTGCATTAAGGAAGTAACTTGCAAATTCTTAACTATATTCTCTTAGGCATATTTCTGTATTATACTACTCTCACCTCTAAAAATTTTGTTTCATCAGGGACTACAGACACAAAATGAAACACAGCAGGAAAAAAAAGTACTGTAAGGGTGTGATTTTTAAAATTATTTTAATTGGTGATTTGTTTTTTTGGCTTGTATGTGGGCTAGCCTTATCTAAGGCCTCCTAGTGAATTTGGGTCTACAGAACGAAAACAGCATTCTCATCTAAAATTAGAGCCTTGTGCTGTCACTTTGCACAGTATGTTATTCCTTTCACAGTTTGGCTGACAAAATGTTGCTAGAAAAATTCAAATAAAATACTGTTTTTCCTTTCATAAAAGGCTTCCCATGCTGAACACATGCATAAGTGATCAAATGAGAAGTTTCTAACTTTCATAAAGTGCAATGCCCTTTTTTTTTTATCTGCCTCAACATTTTTCTCTGGATAACAACAGATGAGGGGAATGATAATCAACTATTTGCCATTTGCAGAAAAACACTCCCCTGTACCGAAGAAACTGAGCTAATGACATTCACGATCTCCTTTGAAATCCTTTTTCAGCCTTCTAAGGCATGGCTCTCCTGGTTGGAGGAATATATGCTCTAAAAAAATCAAAACAATCAAATCCTAAAACCTTTGCACGTAAATGAAAAAACAAAAAAAGTCTCCAAAAATTAGACACTTGGTTAGGGAAAATGAATACTCCAGGTGTTATCAGAGGCAACATAAATACCAGCAAGGAGATTCATTCCAACAGCTATTTATTAGACCAGTTCCCTGGTCAAAGACACAAATGCATGTTAAATAAAAGCTGATTTGCTGCACTTGACAGAAGCTACAGAAAACCAACTTCGGCTCATGTAACACATATAAGGTCTTATGCTTAGACTGATTTTCCAAATAGTAAGCTAAAGTTAAGGAATACTGCTCAAAATCATGATCTTGTCACAGCTCTAGTTCAGTAAAACTCTATTACAAATCTTAAACAAAGAAGGAAATCTTTGAAAAATCTAAAATTTTACTGACATGCACTGTTTTAAGCAACAAAATTTCCTGTAGTAGTAAATTAAGCTGACTAGAAACTAATTTGGTTCTCTCTTCCAATATGCTATTTCACTTCCATTTTCTAGCCTAAGTCACTCTCTTTTATCTCTCAAGTTTGTATTCCTGGTATGAGCAAAGTGGTGGCAAGTCTAGAATTGAATTAAGAGAGTATTAAGCAGCCAAATAGATATCAAATCAAGTATCCATGAAGTCACAAGCAACTCACCAATCCCGCGCGGTCTCTTTGAATTACAGGACTCACTGACAGGGAACGGAAGATCTGATCCATGACAGTGCTCAAGCTACAAGACATCCAACAAATACATAAAAAAGAGTAGCATAAAAAAGCTGTTGTTTTCATCTATGGTACAAGCCTTAAGTTATCATGGAAAAAAGATCCGTGCATTTACCTACACATAAAAATGACTTAAAAATAATATTATGGTTCACATCCAAATGAAATATCATGACAAGGCACCAGCATTTTCTCTCTATAAAACTCCTTCCCTTCTTTGCTCATCTCTACTTCTACCCAAATTCTCTGTTTAGAAACCTTACACTGAGGTCATCATATCCTCCTGGTTTTTGCCAAAAATTGATTTGCCCAGTGATTCCTATATTTTCGTCTGCTGTCAAGATTCCATTGTTTGAACAGTAAAGCACAACTGAAAACAAACAAAAAAAAAAACAGAAGAGGGTAATCTAATAAATCCTGCATTTTAATAAGGGAACATCTCTGTTCAAAAATATCGTCTCTCTTCCTTTGTAGAATATATGCTTAATGAGAGATTCCATCCTTGCCAATGCACTAAGAATATGGAATCCTTGCAAAATTCTTCCTTTGGTTCAATGCTAACAACTACAGATAGTGAAAACGTGAAAATAAAAACACCAAAAGAAAGAAATAGAAGTATCTCTTTCCTCAACAGGCAAGACTAGCTTTCAGTAGCTTCCTACTCAGAGAACCATTGAACATTAAATAAAAAAAATTTGGAGAAAATATTTTCTTTGTAGCTTTTCGATTAATGATGACATCCATTAACAACATGCTGGATGTAAGAACACCCAGGAACACTGTGCAGTTCACAAAGAAATGTCCAGAGTCCTGCACATGGGGAGGAGCCGTCCCATGCATCAATATATGTTGGGGGCCATCCAGCTGGGAAGCAGCACGGCAGAAAAGGACACGGTGGCGCCAAGTCGAACAGGAACCAGCAATGTACCCTTGGCACAAAGGCAAATAGTGCCCTGGGCTGCATTAGGGGGAATGTTGCCAGCAGCACAGATGGAAGGGAGGTGATCCTTCCCCTCTGCAAAGCCCTGGCAAGCCTGCATCTGGAGTGCTGTGTCCAGTTCTGGGCTTCTCTATAGAAGAGACATGGGCACACCGGAGAGAGGCCAAAAACAGGCCACACACATATGAGGAGAGACTGAGGGAGCTGGGACTGCTCAGCTTTGAGAAAGAAAGGCTCAGAGAGAATTTATCAAAGCATATGAATAACTGAAGGGAGGCTGCAAAGAGAACAAAGCCAGGCTCTTTTCAGTGGTGCCCAGTGAGTGACAAGACCACAGGCCATGGGCACAAACTGAAACCCATGAGGCTACATCTGAACATCAGGAAACACTTTTTTTACTCTCAGGATGCCTGAGCACTGCAGGAGGTTGCACAGAGGAGTTGCAGAGTCTCCATCCTTAGGGATATTCAAAAACCATCTGGACATGACTCTGGAAAACCTGCTGAAGGTGATGCTGTTTGAGCAGGGGAGTCAGGCTAGATGACCATCAGAGGTCCCTTCTAACCTCCACCACTTTGTGACTGGTGGTAGAATGAAAATTCCCTTCTTCCCAAATTCCTTCCTCTCTGTTTTTACTAAGACTTCTACAAGCTTCAACTTGCAACAAAATCCCATCCTGTTTTCATAAAAAATTGGTTTTTTTCCCCCATTTAACAGAGTCCTTTGTGCCCAAACCCAATCTGAAATGCAGTCCACCCGTCTTATTTTTTAAGAACTGTCGTACCCTTGTAATGTCGGGGCTCAGGTCGGACACTGTCTTCAAGATCCTTGCCTCCAGATGCTGCTGTTGGGTTTCTCGTAAAGCTTCACAGAAGGCTGAGAAGGCATTAGGGCCTCTCTTGGGCAGCAAATTGAGGAATTCCACATTTCGTTCGAAGCTCCCAGACTTTGCCTAGACCCAGAGGAAAAAAAAAAACCAAAATCCACACTATGTAATACCCAACACAACTGATTTTCAATGAATTATCAGAACAACTACTTTTTTATTTCAGATAAACACTTCACCACTGTGCTTATCTGTGCTAGGTCCATTATTATACTCTTCCTAGCTGATTTTGTTCACGCTCCTCTGCTCTGTTCCTATTTTCTCAAGAGAGTATGAGAGTATATGACAACACAACAAGCCAATAATTCATACATTACCACGCACAGTAATACACCATATTCTCTCCAAACTTTTACTTCCAGTTACTGTTGGAATAGTATCTATTTTTCCTCGCCGAATACACAGAAAGTCCAAAACATGCTTCCGCTACTATCCAATGGTTTATGGTCTCATGTAGATACTCAAACCCTTCAGAAAACATTAAGTAAAATACTTACTATATACAGTCAGTTCCAGAATGGTACTTAGTATGTACAGACTGTAATATTTAGACCAATGAAGCAATATATTCTAGTCTAAGTGAAAAAGTAACCATCAAAATGAAATTCATCTCTTTGTTAAACATTGTCAAGAAGTCCCAACTGTTAGAATACCAACAGGGTATTTGCCAACAAAATGTATAATTTACATAATAATAACCTTCCCTGTGAAATCTAAAAGACACCAAAAAAACCACATACTAAAATACTGGATATCAGAAATAAGATTTATTTTATTTGGAATACATCCTATATTTTTTTTAATTATCAGTTAGATTTGAGATGTCTTCTTTTGGTGGATGATTGAAAACAGTTGATGAGAATTAAGGCTTAACCATACAGCAATCACAGGAAAATAGCACCTTGAGGCACATATCTTCTGCTACAGAAGATATCACATCACCTGGTTTCTTTCATAAAATTTAAAAAATAGATTAGGATACTGCAAAACCTTGTTGATCCAATGTTCATGAAACTATTTAGAATTTCAGAGTTAGATTCATTCATGACTAATAGCATTTATTTTTGTATCAGCGGTGTTCCTTGTTTCCAGTGTTCTCCTGTCCTTTCCCTTATTTATCAAACTTCTTTCTATAAACTGGTCTTGATTTGCTACACTAAACAAGTCACTTTCTTTTAAGCTCCTCATAACTGGCCTCGTCCCCTTGCCAGTACCTTTCCCTCTTCCCACAGAAGCCTCAACTTTCAGAGCACTGTTGACTATAATTATAATGGCCAGTCTTCACGAACGAAGAACCGGGGAAGGTCTTTCCACCTTCCAGCCTGCGCATTGGATTTTTTAGGTGAGACACAGTGTGCGCGGAACTGAGCCCACCCTTTAATCCTGAGGTTCATCTGCCGGGGCCAAGCACGCTTGGATGGTGGCAGGGAGGTCCTCAGGACCGTAGATGGATTGCCTTACGGGGCTAACGAGCTCCATCTGCCCGGAGAGTGTCCTGACCGGGAATCGAACCCGGGCACTATTGACTAGAAGTGCAAACAATAGTACCTTACTTGTGTCTTTCCAGAAGTACGAAGGCACTTTCTCCTTTCTCCCAATAACACTTCTCCATTAGTCCATTGAAAATAACCAGTTCCATACACTTACATCTTCCTGTAAGCTCACTGAATTTTATTTTAACTAATAAAGTAAATTGAGAGCTTATTTCCAAAGTATCTATAAATTGTTTATTTCTTTCTGGTAGCTGTTTGAGACAAGCTGAGGGTCATTCATCTTCTTCACTTGATGTCTTCATAGTCTATGACTCTAAGCCATAAATCATAGTTAAGAACACAAGCTGACCTTATGAACTGGATCTTATGTTTCATTGAAAAGTTAAGAAATTTCCATAATGTTCATATTCTGCATTATGTATGTAGGTATGTATGTGTCAAATTTTTATGTGTACCAGTCAGCTTTTGGAAGACTTCTTCCTCAGTGTTTCATTAAACACCCAAAAGGCTGTACCTCTTCATTTAACTTCCACATCAACACCACATTTAGATTACACTAAATAATGTTCAGCAAACATTCAGAAGTAAAACTTCCCTATGACATACCTCTTTCATTTCGTTTTCCAATACATCCTTAATTTATTAATGTACCCTCACAGATGGATTTGATAATCTGCATAACAGGAACTGGTTGTAAAATAAATTCTTAATTCCTGTCAAAATTCCATAATACTAGTCTTACTGACCCAGAGTATAAATATAGAATCTGTGAAAAGACCATACATATTTTACAAACATTCTAAACAAATTATCACTTTGTCAAAACCAGTGATCTCTTGATTACTGTCTAGTGATCAACATAGAGTACTGAAATCTTCAAATCTACACAGTCTCAGACTTGGATTACAGTATAGTGTTCCACTTGTTTAAAGAGCAAGAGAAAGCTCTTGCTACCTTATCTGCTGTTTTGAAGGTCCATCCTAGAGCTCTGGAAGAACATCTGATGCTCTGAGAAGGCATTTATACAGTGAATTCTAGACTTTGCCTTAAAAACAGGTATTTCCAGGGTCCCACTTTTTTTCAAACATTGTTTTGCTCTGTGTTTAAAATTCCCCTCTTCTGGGTCTTCATCTAGAAAATTTTATTTACATCATCTTCACTACAAAGAGAACACAATTTTTTTTTCTTTACTCTTTATTCAAAGTGTATACAGTGGAAAAAACCTAACACTGTTTAATAACTTTCTGAATGACCCAATTTAAATTCATTCCTCTCCTACTATTTCCCCACATTTCAGACATCAAAGGAAGCTGCTTCTATTTATTAATTCTTCTCCAGTGTACACCTTAAACACTTTACGTACTCTTCATTTTCCTTCTGAGCTCTTCATCCAGCTCAGTCACCTTGGTCTTCTGTGGCTCTTCCAGCAACACGCTCCCCTCACACTTTTTTCTTACTTGTGGTAAAGTTTCAGTACTAGTTTTACACTTCACACTTGAAAAAATTTCATCCTTCCTTCATCTCCTTGGTTTATTTCACCTTCTTTAGACTACAAAAGATTATTTAAGTGCTCTATTTCCAGAGCCATTTTATTTGTTCAGCTTAAATCAAGGTCACAGGACCAATGTCACTGCTGTGCTTTTAAGGCAATATGATTTAGAATGTAACTATTTATCCCGATCTTGATTTCCTGACTTACTAGAGGAGCAGGGGGATATATATATAGAACCAATTAGTTGTAATATCCAGGAAAATCTATGCTCTTTTATCAAAGTGGCATTTGGCTCCTCCTTTTTCCACTTAAGTACCTGATGATTGGCATCAGAATGCATTTTCAAGACCAGGCTACCTAACAGCACTTCTAAGACCTTTGCTCACACTTGAGCCAGAGACAGGAAGAATATTAAAAATTCACAGACCTACAACAGAAAAACGAAAGGTAAGACAAAGTGTTTTTCACTTGAGTGATTCTTTTTTTAGGAACCTTCCTTTTTCTCTATAGAACTGTTATGACTAGTACTACCCTGTAAACGTTCCCCTCATTTCTATCCTTCTAGTACATATTTCGTAGTAGTACTGTTCCAGTTGTGAATGCTTTCTGCCTACCTCAGCCATATTTCCATTTTTGTTGCAATTTCCAGATCCATACCCTGCAACAGTAGTTCAAGTCCCTTTGCTCTCTTGCTCAGGCTGCTATTGCTGTTTATACACATTTAAATCCCTGGTTGTGTGTGTATATTGTATTAGGCAGAATTTTTTCGCTAGGCTATTACTCTTTACCTCACTTATCTCTAACAGCTTTCTCCTTACCGATAATCCATTACTGAGTATTGTTACATTTCCTTTTACTCAAATACACCTGGAGGGGAAGATTCCCTTTGTCTTCTTCACCTCTCAGTTTAAATACTTCTCAACTACAGCAGCATCTTGCCAAAAGGAGTATTTTCTCTGGCATTATTCTAACCTTGAGAGGGCTCCCCCCCCCCCCTTTCCTTCCCCTCCCCTTACCTCAGTGACAAACTGCAGGTCATCAAATGAACATCCCTACTAATCACCCATACTTCAGCAATGTTGCTGTTTAAAACCCGTGGGCTGCTAAGCACCACACAGACGCTCAGTCACTCCCCCCACAGCGGGATGGTGGGCGGAATCAAAACTGTATAAGCGAGAGAAGTTGAGATAAAGATGGATTAATAGGTAAAGCAAAATCCAGACACACAAAGCAAAACAAAGAATTCATTCACTGCTTCCTGTCATCAGGTTCAGCCGCCCCCAGGACAGCAGGACTCCATCCCGTGAAATGGTTACTTGGGAAGACAAACAATGTCACTCTGAGAGTTCCCCCCTTTCTTCTTCTTCTTCCCCCAGCTTTACGTGCTAACCATGACAGCAAATAATGTGGGATATCCCTTAGGTTAGCTGAGGACAGCTCAGATATTTCCCCTCCCAAATTCTTGTGCTCCTCCTCGCGCCTCCCTTCCCAGCATCGTTGCTGAGGTGGGGCAAGAAGAAAAGGTCTTGGCTCTGTGTAAGTACTGTTCAGCAATGCCTAAAACATCTCTATATTATCAACACTGTTTCCAGCACAAATCCCAACACAGCCCCACAACAGCTACTATGAAGAAATTAACCCTCTTCCAGCCAAAACCAGTACAAGAAGGGACTTGAACTACTTCAGGTAAGACTGCCCGCATCTCCCACAACTTAACACTGATATCCTTGACAGGTCCCACGAGGAATCGGTCGTTATCTTTGACACTGAGCCAAAGTATGTAAAGTGATTCATATTATCTCTGACCATGAATGAAAAATAATCTGGAAGTTATTTCTTCATTGCTATCAAGAATCTTATCAATCTCAGTTTTGTTTATACTTTCAACACTGGTGCCCAGCCAATAGTTCATAATCTGTTCTAATTACAGGACCATCAACTTGAGTCCTGAGATACACTCGCCGTGCAACTTCAGTCATTTCCTTTCCAGTCTGCTTTCTTTGAAGACCTGTATCTCCATCCTGCATGGTGTTCAGTGCACTTCCATCCCTCTGGGAGAAATCCCAAGCTATTTCCAAAGACTTCTCTCCATAGTACCCACTGCACAGGGTAAGTAACACAGGCCTACAAACAAACGGCTTTTGTCAGCTGAGAGCGGGCCCTGAATCCTGCAAGGTTCTTCACGCAGATTACAAAAAAACATCAGCAGCACAAATTCTTTGAGTGAAAGGGGCCACAACAAGCTGGTTTATATCGTATTCATTTTGGTATTCTTTTGGAAACAGGTATTGTTTCTGCTTCTGGAGAAAAAAGAGGCACAAAAAAACAAAGGACCCTGATCCACAGAGTGCAGCCTCCTGCAACTGCACACCAGCACCCAAATAGTGAACTTTTGACAAAATACACAATGCCAAAAGCACCTCACAGTTCTTCTGCACGCTACAATCAACCCTCACACGGCTTTGCACGTTCTCTAAATGCAATCACGCTAAAACGTGCAGGTTAACACACAGCTGAGGTTTCTTCCATGCTGCCACTGCTAAGAAAGACACCGAGCTTAGCCTGAAATAAAGGCCACGGCGCAAGCGAGCCCACTCCCCATACCTGTATCATTTCCACCATCTCCAGTGTGATGATGTCCTTCTCTACCATGTACTCCACCAGTACGGGCAACACAAGCTGCTTCGCCAGGATCACACGGTTCCTCTTGAGCGCTTCCTGGTGACGCTGCTGCATTCCGCACGCCACCAGCATCCTGGGAGAAGAAGGGAGACCCGGGGCGCACTCAGCGGCAAAGACCCACCCGCCCTCCTCCCGACAGCTGGCTCAGGAGGGATCCCTCTGCCGCTCACCAGGGACGGAAAGAGGCCCTTCCCGCCCGCCTTTTTCCCGGCGGCACCCGCGATTCAAAGCGCGAGACTCGTTTTCCCGCCGTCACGTGACCTCCCACGGCGCGGGAGCGGTTTCCCGCCGCCTCCTGCCCGCGCGCGGGCTGGGCGCGGCCCCCCAGGGACGTGGGGGCGGGATCGCGGCAGGGGGGTCACAGTGCGGCACGGCAGAGGCACGGCAGGGGTCATGTCCTGCAGGGGGTATTAACAAGTGCAGCTTTCCTTGCGAACATACCGGCACTGGGATTTATTTTGGTTTTTTTCTTTTCAATTTTAATTTTAGAGGTTTTGTTTCCTGTGTTTTGTTGCACATGAGTTTCAGTGGAAATCAGCTGAAATCAGAAAAGATAGCGCACAGTCATTTGAGAGGGAGCACACAGGGTTTGCAGAGAACGTGAAACACGGAGGGAAAAATTGCAAGTGACCATCTTTCTAGCATAAGCAAATTCGCAGCACTTGTCACATTATCACAGGGTCATTGCGATTGGAAAAGACCTCTGACATCATCGAGTCCAACCTTTAAACATCACCTTGTCAAACTAGACCATAGCACTGAGTGCCACATCCACCTCCAGGGGCAGTGACTCCACCACCTCCCTGGAGAGCCAGTTTCAGTGCTTGACAATCCTTTTGCGAAGAAACTCCTCCCCTTGTCTAACTTGAACCTCCGCTGGCATAGCTTAAGACTGTGTCCTCTCGTCCTGTCGCTAGTTGCCTGGGAT